CAAAATCTCTGGGATGCCCTGAAAGCTGTAGTAAGAGGGGAATTTATATCCCTACAAACACACATGAAGAAAATGGAAGGAACAGAAATTCACAACCTAACAAGCCACCTAAAGAAGCTGGAAAAGCAAGACCACAAAAACCCTAATTTCAGCAGAAGAATCCAGATCACCAAAATAAAAGCCCAAATCCAGGACATAGAAGACAAAAAGATAATACAAAAAATCAATGAAACAAAAAGCTGGTTCTTTGAAAGAATAAACAAGATTGATGGTCCCCTAGCTAGACTGACCAAGAAAAAACGAGAAAAAAACCAAATAAGCACAATCAGAAACACAAAAGATGAAGTCGCATCTGACCCTGAAGAAATCCAAAAGATCATTAGAGACTACTACGTACACTTGTATGGAAACAAACTTGAAAACCTTAAGGAAATGGAGGACTTTCTGACATCACACAACCTACCTAGGTTGGAACAAGAAGAAATTGAGACCCTAAATAGACCAATAACAATCAAGAAAATCGACTACGTGATAAGAAAACTTCCTACCAAAAAAAAGCCCTGGTCCAGATGACTTTCCAGCAGAATTCTACAAGACATTCAAGGAGGAGCTGATACCAATCCTACTGAAGGTATCCCAGGCTATTGAAAAAGATGGTACTCTCCCCAAATCATTTTACGAAGCCAACATCACATTGATACCCAAGTCAGGTAAAGATCCAACAAAGAAAGAGAACTATAGGCCAATATCTTTGATGAACATAGATGCTAAAATTCTCAACAAGATCCTAGCAAACCAGATTCAGCAATACATCTCAAAAATCATCCACCATGACCAAGTAGGCTTCATTCCTGGGATGCAAGGCTGGTCCAACATTCGTAAAACCATAAATGTAATTAAATACATCAACAGATGTCAAAACAAAAACCACATGATCATATCATTAGATGCAGAAAAAGCTTTTGATAAAATCCAGCACCCCTTCTTAATAAAAACCCTTGAACATCTAGGCATATGGGGAACATACCTCAAAATAGTAAAAGTCATCTACAAGAAACCCACAGCCAGCATACTCCTAATTGGACAAAAATTAGAACCAATTCCCCTGAAAACTGGAACTAGACAAGGATGCCCACTCTCACCCCTCCTGTTCAACATAGTATTGGAAGTCCTGCTAGAGCAATCAGAGAAGAGGAGGCAATCAGAGGTATTCAAATAGGAAAAGAGGAAGTCAAGTTATCTCTCTATGCAGATGATATGATTGTTTACCTTGAAAACCCAAGAGAATCTGTCAAAAGCCTCCTTACATTGATAAAGGCCTTTGGCAAAGTCTCAGGATACAAAATAAATGTACAAAAGACAATCGCATTTCTCTACACCAATAATAAACAACAGAAACCCAAATAAAAAACACAATTCCATTCACAATAGCCACAAAAAAAATGAAATACCTTGGCATCTTCCTAACCAGAGATGTGAAAGACCTTTACAATGAAAATTACAAAACACTGCTCACAGAAATCAAAGCTGACATGAACAAGTGGAAAAATATCCCATGCTCATGGATCGGAAGAATCAACATTGTGAAGATGTCTATCTTACCTAAGGCAATCTACAAATTCAATGCAATACCCATTAAATTACCAACAACATTCTTCTCAGACCTAGAAAAAACAACACAGGAATTCATATGGAAACACAAACATCCAGAATAGCCAGAACAATCCTCAGCAAAAAAAACAAAGCAGGTGGTATCACAATACCAGATTTCAAACTTTACTATAAAGCTACAATCATCAAAACAGCTTGGTATTGGTACAGGAACAGGCATATAGATCAATGGAACAGAATTGAGATTCCAGAAGCAAAACCTCAATTCCTCAACCAACTCATCTTCGACAAAGCCCG